TGGTGCGAACTGGTAGGAACCCACCTCTGATTCATATCTATCCATCCATCCATCCATCCATCCATCCATCCATCCATCCATCCATCCATCCATCCATCCACCTCTATCTTTATCTCTACCTATTCCTCCCTCCCTCCTGCCCTCTCTCTCTCTCTCCCCCCCCCCTCTCTCTCTTTCTCTCTTTCTCATTCATGCCTTCTCCAGTATCCAAATTTTGTCCATTTTGGGGGGGGGGAAACTCACTTTCCAATGAGAGGCACTGCCTGAGATGTTTCGGGCACCTTTTTAGCAACCAGGATAAGGAAGACGATCTGGGCCAAGAGGACGTTGATGGAGACCGTGCACTTCTGCCCACCGGCTGCAGAAAGGAGAGACCGTTTGTTCTTCTTGTAGCAGGGAAGGAAAGCGGGAAAGAGGAAAGAGAGAAGGGAAAGGAAGGGGAAAGGCGGAAGGCAGAAGGGGGAAGGGGGAAAGTGGAAGAGGAGAGGGGGAAGGGGGAAAGGAAAGCAAAAAGGAAAGGAAAAAAGGGAAAAAGGAAGGGAAAGGGAAGGATGATACTCTCACAATATTCTGGCCCCACTCTGCAACTGAACCCCAGCAATTTTAGAAGAACGCCCCATGGAACCCAATTCATGCTCTGAATCTCCGTCTCTGTCCCAATGCTATTTTTTAACTTTCCCTCCCAGGCTGCGTTAGGATTCCTGGGGCTGGACTGGAGGATCTCCCAGATCCCTTCCCTTTGATGAGTCCAAGAACTGTGGCCACGAGGCCACCAGGACGCTGACCTTTGGCAGGCAGGAAGTAGACCAGCAGGGCTACGAAGGAGATGAGCACGCAGGGGATGATGATGTTGACCACATAGAAGAGAGGCTTCCTCTGGATGATCAAGAAGAAGACAATTTGCTGGTACCCGATGTCGCTCGGGGTGGAGTGTTCGGCATTCACAACTTTCTTAGCCGGACGGTGTTTGATGGCCCACTCTCCATTCTCTGCCGGAAGGATAATCGGATCAGCCGTAGCGCAGCTCACTCCTCGAAGGTCTAGGACAACTCTCCGGGACCAGCTCACTGCATCCAACTCATCACGACCAACTCACTGCGGCCAACTCACCATGTCTAACTCACCATGTCCATTCACTGTGTCCAACTCACTGCATCCAACTCATGGCAGCCAACTCACCATGTCCACTCACTGTGTCCAACTCACTGCGTCCAACTCANGACTTACAACAGTCTGTTTAGTGGCCGTTTAAAGTTACAACAGCCCTGAAAAAAGTGACAGATGATCGTTTTTTATAAGTATAATTTTTATTGCCGTCATACTTAAATACAACGAAATTGGTTTTTCACACAACCGTTGCAGCATTCCCGTAGCCAGGGATGGGCTGCTCCAGGTCTGCCTGGGTTTGGGAGATCCTCTAGCGAAGATTCTGCACAATTCGGCAAACCACCAAATCCCACTCCTGGCTGGCCACCCCCATCCCTCCCCTCTCCCAGGAATCTCCACAAAGCCCGTTTTGGATGCCATGTAAGTGCATGGAGGCTTGGGTAAGGGGGAAAAATGGGCCTGGCTGGCTGGGGAATTCTGGGAGTTGAAGTCCACAAGTTTTAAAGTTGCCAAAGTTGGATATCCTCTGGCGCAGGCTGTCATTTACAATCGGGGGGAGGGGGGCTCCAAATTAGATCAATTAATGTAAATAAATCAACACATTTAAAAAAAAGAAAAAAACCCGCAGCTAATCTTGACTCAAAGGTACCAAAAATTTAAACAAAAGCCCGGGAACCTGGAGGAGGCGGGCCCAACACTCATCCCTTGCAGGTGGGAAGCAGATGCCTCCTTTGGACTCACCTGTCGGATTCGCTTGGACATCACATGGGTATTGGGCGTGCGCAGAGAAACGTTGAGGACGATCACAGCATTCACCACGATGGTAATGGTCACCACCAGAAGGAAGGTTAAGTACCTTTCAATGGGAATAGGATGACGCTGTTTATCTTATTGATTACCTGTCTGTCTGTCCATCCATCCGTCCATCCATATCAGTGGTGGGTTTCAAAAAAGTTTCGAACCTACTCTGCGGGTGTGGCCTCCTTTGTGGGAGTGGCTTGCCGGCCATGTGACCTGGTGGGAGTGGCTTGCCGGCCATGTGTATTCTCTCTCTCTCTCTCTCTCTCTCTCTCTCTCTCTCTCTCTCTCTCTCTCTC